GTTCAATATGTGTTGCGTCTTGGGCTCGTTTCTTATCCCAATTTTGTATCCGGATTGGTCTTGTCAATCCGTGATTTAATATTTAGGGTTTTAGTATTTATAGATGCTTGCATGCATCTTGGTACGTAGCTGTTTAATCGATCATTCATAACGTTTTTTTCTATCGATTGTAACCCTAAAAGCCTCTACAGCGGAAGTTCTTCGTCGAGCTCTGCTGAGGCGTGAATATATTGAATTATTCAACTTATTGTTGGTTCATTCTTTTGTATGTTATTTTGTTTGCATGATTCTGATAAACCTATGTAAGATTTAATCGATCAAAGAGTATTTTCATCTGATAACTATTTATACATAAATCATTAAAAATGAGAAGGATAATTTGAACCATTCCAACAGATAGACATCAACCCACTGAAATTCAAATTACACCATCTGTTAGATATTGTTATTTCAATTTTTACTTAAAAATAATACCTCTAAATATTTAAACACTAACAATTATATTTTGTAAGTATAATTTAGGGTTAATTGTTAGGGGCAGGATCATTGATTCATATTCATGATCCTCAAAAACTTCTGAAGCCTCAGGATCATTAAACATATCCCAGGATCCTGACTATTTACACTTATATTTCTAACACTTGTAACAACTATATTTTCTTTATTTTTCTTATAGAGCGATTCAACACAAGACCCATTCTCAATGGAGAGTCATCTCAACCAGGAAAAAGACGCGGAATACCAAGTCAAATAATGTTTGTATGTTGATTTTGGAAGATCCCGAAATTATCGGACTTCTTGTTATTAACATTAGACTATATATAGCACGTGTAACAAGAACACTAGAGACAATTATCTCCTATAAGTCAATTGTACTTGCATTCATACATTTATCTCTATATTCAATATTTTATATCAATAAAATCATCAAGGCAAGTGATCAGTATCACCTCCCAAGGTTTTATCCCAGAGATTTTATCAAGGAACAAGGGCTTTCCTTGTAACTCACTTGTGTCGCTTTTATTACCATTTCTCACTTGATTTACCATGAACATCATAGCTTCTCATATAATTTTGTTAGATTCTACTTAGTTGATTTTTTACCAAAACACCTACGATTAAGGGTACTTAATCTCCTATAAGGTTTAAATAGTTAATTACCTCTTTCATACGAGTTAAGGCTTCTACACCTCAGTTGGATGCATGAAATCTTACTATGTGATGTGAATAAGGAGATCATTTAACACTACAATGACTTGGAAAGCATCTTATTTCCAAACATATATTAAGATCCTGACATTTAAACCTAAGGTTTATACCACTAATGTGCTATCTTAAGTTGGGATTTTCCCTAGTAATTTTCTAAGGTCTATGACCCTAATGTGTTATCTTAAGTTTGGATTTTTATGAGTAATTTCCGACGGTTTGTAATACTGACGTTTTATCTAAAGTTGAGATTTTCCCCAGTAATTTCCTAAGGTTTATAACGCTAAAATATTGTCTTAAGTCGGATTTTCCCCAATGTTTTTCTAAGATCCATAAACATTATCATCTTATGAGAAATTGGGATCTTCCCCAGGAAATGTCTAAGGCTTGTTACATTATGAAAAATTGGGATCTTCTAAGTTGGGATTATTCCTACTTGGCTTCTGAGGTAGGATCCTCCCCGGATTTTTAAGTAATAAAGATATCCTCTGATGAACTCATAAAATAAGGATCCTTTCATACACAAACTTCAACATCATACTAATGGAATCAAAACTTTTGCATATGAATTCTAAGGAGCACCAGGTTCTATCCATCATTTAAAATTATTTTTCCCTACGTAATTTTTTAAGGTTTGTTATCTTAAAAGGTCTTAACTATTTTAAGATCCCAAATTGATGACTAACTAATTTCAACTTATTCATATCTTAAAGTGTTCTTGTAAGACTTGAACTTTTTATTATCTTGACTATGTAAGAATCCACAAAAATCCTTTTACTACAACAACACAAGTCAACCATGCAAGCCAAACATATATAAACATCGACTACCAAAGTGGATAAAGTAAAAAAAAAGAGTTGTCCACCAACCCCACAAAAAGTGAAGTATTGTCTTACACATCCAAAATGTTGAAATTATTTTTAAATAAATAAAATTTAAGTTTCAGAATGACTACCACCATGCAGAGCCACCTCTGTCTTCTCTCCTCCTTCTTTTGGCTGCAATACAGGATCCTGACTGGCAACAATAGGCTCACCGGTTAATTTGCCTAGGGCCTCATGCCATCCAGTCATATTCTAGGATCCTGCATTCTCAAGTTCCTTTGCAAGCTTAATCTTTGCCTCCCAGATAGGTACATCAATGCTCATCCTCACTTCCTTAATTACCTCGTCCATTTCAGCCACATTATCTTTTTCCTCAAACAACTTCTCCACCCTCTGCAGGAGCTCCTTGTTGATTCCCTCCTACTCCCTTAAAGCATGTTCTGTTGAGCAAAATTGGCCTTGAGATCCTCATGGGAGCGAGAGACGTGATCAATAACCTAAGAAGGGAAACTTTAAGTGAAAAATAAAATTAAATGAAAATAACACAACAATGCTTACCGATTATGAGAAGGATGTCAGATTCTTTAGTGCCTCATCTGTTCCAACATTCTTAAGATCTCAGATATCAGACGATTTCCTCTTGCGAGATAGTGGGTCTTCACAGCAAGATCAAGCTGAGTCTTCTTAGGAAGAAGAGGGGAAGGAATCTTTTCCTTCTTCACCACAAGTAAGCCTCTAGACATGTCATCCTTGACCTCAGATAAGACAAATCCAACACTAGAACGAGTAGCTTTGGATCCTACATAGTGTGAAGGATCCTCATAAGTTCAGGATCCTAATCTCAAAACAGATAAAGAATCCTTACCAGTTTCCATCGAAGTTGTGGTAGATGAACCTTCTTGAAGGCTAGGTTGCCATAGCTTGAATGATCTAAAGTCTGCATGTAAAGCAAGGAAGCTCGTGATCTTATCCTTGGTGTCCTCAACAATAGAAAAAGCTTCTCCAAACTTGAAACATGCCTCAAATTAAATAAAAAAATAAGAAAAGTAAATACTTGGATCCTCAAAATCAACAAATAGATACTACCTGCTTTAACCAAAGCTTTGGGAAGGAGATCTCCACCGACAATAGAGTAATGCCTCACAAAAAAAAGTATTTTTCCTTGCAGCTCCATCATTGTGTTTTGTTTCCAGAATAAGAGGAGATTTGTTGGTTTTGACTTTAAGCAAAAAACGGATAATTCCCAAAAGTAGAAAGATCATAAACATAATCTAACTCGGTAAGACCTATGTCTAGATTATGAGAACGATTCACTTGGTCAATCGAAAATAAAACCTTCTAGATAACAAACATAACTTGAATATATGAAAGACTAGTGGCTAGGAAGAAATCAAAAACAATGCTCGAAAAGAGGTATTTAAGACCCAAAGAAAAGGGATACTCATAGAAGTATACCCATAAAGGAGAAACGAAATCTGGTTGAATAGAAGCTTCAAAAGACCTGAAGATTATGTTGGAAGAAAAAATTCCACCAGATTTGGACACTGCAGGAGTACAGGTTACTTTCTTGCCCATAATCGAAAAAAGTGGAAAACAAAAGGAAAAGAAGAGAAAGAAATTACTTGTGAAGGTGACAATAGATGATCTAGTGAAATACAGGGGAAGGTAACAGAAGTCAAGTCCGTTTCCCCTATTTAACCTAAGTGATAGAAGATAGAGTATGATTTGACTATGTAATGATGCTTATGGAACGGATAAATACTATCCGATAAGGGTTTGAAATTCAAAGTTCCTTATATCGTTTTATTTTTTAAATTATGCATTAAAATATTTTGAAATGAACCTTAATATATTGCATGTATTATTTGGGGGGTAATTGTTAAGGGCAGGATCCCAAAATCATATTCAGGATCCTCAATAACCTTGAAGTCTCAAGATCATTAAACATATCTCAGGATCGTAGCTATTATAACTAATATAAGCTAACACTTATAACAACTATATTCTTTATTCGTTTTCTCATATGTGCTGAATTAGTCAACACTAGACTTATTCTCAACGAAGAATCACTTCAACCAAGCTTAAGACCCTTAAAATACCAAGTCACACAATGTGCAAATACTATGTCAAGAAGAATCCTTAAAATATCAGACTTCTTATTATTCAGCTTAGACTTTAAATAACACTTGTAAATTGCACACCACACACACGATTAGCTTTATTATCACACTTGTACTCGTATTATCTTCATCGTCTCTGTAATCCCAGATTAAAATCAATAGAAAGCAACAAGGTGGGTGATCATTATCACCTTCTAATGTTTTATATCGGAGATCTTATAAAGAATCAATGTTTTTCCTTATAAATCAGTTGCTTTATTTTGATTATTATTCTACACATGCATTATCTTAACATCATAGTGTCTCATACAATTTGATTGAATTATAATTGATCAATTTTTGACAAAAACATAACTACCCTTTAAAATTATGACAAATATCATTATTCTATCATTCAGTTTAATTTTATCTCATATAGTTCTAAAATATCCTTAATGAGATATTAACACAATATACAATCATGACATTTGTTATAATTTTAATGGTAGAAATATTTGTAGGTATAAAATACAATTAAATATTAAATGATGACCTATTAAAATTTGCATTAATTTGCAATCATGAGGTATTATCTCTTTATTTATGAAAATTTACTATCATCTATATTTTTAAAATTAATCTAACAATCCGCAAAACTCTATTCACTATCCACATTCGATTTTTGTTTTCTTCAGTCGGACTTTTGCTCAAAAAATTGTTGATGGGAAATTAATTGAATTACCTTGCCAAAAAGGCATGGAAGTTGCATTATACAATTTGTTCTCCTAGTTTTCGGCACACATCAAGCATGTTGAATGAACAGTTGAACGACTTTTAGCCAGAAACATAGACAAATTTCTCGACTCCAACCCAACCTCGACCGTGTGACTAATAAACAACTCTACACACATTTTATTTATACAGGTTTTGCTCCTTTTTAATTCCATTCACAATTCTGTCGAGATCAATATCATAATGACAAGTTTGTTTAAAGAGGAACAAGCTTGTGAATCATCTAAACATGCGTCCACGAGCAACCAATCAATTTTTGATCAAGAAACGGGTTCTTCAAATACATTGGAAAGAGGCCAAAGCGAAGTCATAGTTAAAAGTACCTCGTTCATATGCTTTACACTACTAATGGATAAAACCCTTGTTAGAATGGTACAAAACTGTGTCCTAGAATGTTATAACCATAAAGGCTTCTTTTATTGTTGGACTTGTAATATCAATATTAATATTGCAGGTTGTAGCAGAAGCATTGGGGAGTTTTATCGTGATGTTCAGCATAGGTGGGATAATAAAAAGCACAGAATTGATGAGAGGTGTAGGTCTATTAGAGTATGCAGTCACTGCAGCATTAGCAGTGGTCATGGTGGTTTTCTCTATAGGACACATTTCTGGTGCTCATGTTAACCCTGCAGTCACCATAGCATTCGCTACTGTCGGTCCATTTCCATGGAGAAGGGTGCGTATTTATAATAATTAATTACATGCAAAAAGTAATGAGCTTTTGGAATCACTAAATGTGATTCTTTTGTATGGAAAAGGTCCCCTTGTATATAGTGGCCCAAGTAGCAGGTTGTGCCATGGCAACATATGCGGGAGTGTTGGTGTACGGCATGAAACCGGAGGTGATGACGACTAGACCACTTCTGGGATCGAATGCAGCATTTTGGGCAGAGTTTTTGGCGTCCTTCTTCGTGCTGTTTCTTACGGCTTCCTTGGTTCATGCACCCCCATCTGTATGCGTACCATGTCTCTCACTCTTGTAGATATAAACCTGATTATTATCGGAAAAAGGGAATCTCTTTCTAATATAAACTACTTTCTAGAGGGTCATATACAAAGACATATGAACATACATTCAATGATATACTCTCTTTTCCGTATTACAATATTTTACTTTGACGAATTTATCTACTTATTTCTAAAATGTCATCCAAATAGATAACAATGTTTACTACTACTAACTGATTCAATATTTGAAGTATATCGTACTTATGAGACGAATCGTAAACTGCTAAGTAAAGAAATTATAACTATTTTCCTATAATTAACCAGTTATATATTGATATAATCTAAATAAAATATAAATATTTGTTGTTATGAGTATAAATATGTAAACACATTGCAATTATGCAGGAATAAATAAATTGTGTATTATTGGTAAAAATGTATAAAACGTTGTTATTTATTGTAATACCTCAAATAAGTTTTTTTGGCACTACAACAAGATAGTGTATATTAAATAAAATACAATGTCTTAGTATGAAAAACAATGGTATATTGATATTTTGCTATTGTGATATTATTTCAGGTAACACAATTTTCTGGATTTATTGTAGCAGTTGGCATTGCACTTGGAGTCCTTATTACTGCGTAATTACATATTAACATACTTGGCCTAATGTACTCGATGTTATAGATTTTTTTAATACTTATATAACCTTGGTCCATATAAAATAAAACTTTAGGAGTTGAAGTATTTAAAAGAATATACTAAAACACGTGAAACATCAAGGATTAGAAACAACAATTAGTTAGCTAACGTCAAACATCATGATTAGCAAAAACACGTTGATGCTATAATCCTTGTCACTCGGCATTCATATTAGTTTGAATTCTCCCGTATGAGAGTCCTTTAGATGACTAGTTTACATATTTTATTTGAATGGTCAAACTGAAACTGATATGATATATATATGTATTTATGATAGGCCAATTTCTGGAGGATCGATGAACCCGGCAAGATCTTTGGGCCCGGCCCTTGTATCATTTAACTTCCATGGATTATGGATATATTTAACAGCACCAATACTTGGGGCTGTTTCTGGTGCTTTCATGCTTCGTATGCTGAAGCCTTGTACCTCTTCGACTTCATCTCCTTCTTCCTCTTCTTCATCTCGACGATCTCAATTTCTTCAAATTCATTAATTGTAGTACAATGTGTATTTTGATACCATTTTATCTCGTTTTTATGAAGAATAGGTTGACCACACTTATTTCTGTTTTATTCACAATTATGTCTCGATACCATTACACTTTCACTAATGATAGTTGATACCTTTTTTTTTTTTTTTTTTTTTTTTTTAATGTTAGTCACATTTGTGTCTAGTTACCATTCCACTTTTACTATTAGACAAAAGCAGGACCGGTTCAACCAATTTAGAGGTTGTAAGCAAACAAAAAAAATTGAGACGTAAGCAAACAATTTAGAACTTGAGATATTTAGTTTTATAAATAAGATCTATTACCACCAAGCCAAGCTTCAACTTGTATTTGTATCCCAAAAAACACCTATATATACATATATGACACAATAAGTTTTAAAATTGAGGGCCATAAGCCCTTACTTAGTTTTATAAAAGTTAGAGCCGGCCCTGGACAAAAAACATTTGTTTCTAAAAATTTCCTAAGAACTTATTACTCTACACACTTTTGAGGGATTTCCTAACAAGTATTAAAAATAAATTTCCCCAAATGTTCGTAGGTATGAGCATGGGCAGAGTTAGAATTTTATAATAGAAGGGTGTTAATAAAAAATTTAAATATACTTATATCCAAATAACATCATAGACTCAGTAAATTTGAAATATAAATTGACAAAACTAATTGTCTAAATAGAAATTATATTGATATTTACAAAAACCAAATTTCAAAAGACCATATGTACCATAGTTGTCAAAATCGCGATCCTGATCGTAGGATCGTACGATCCTACGATCCTAGGTATGAAAAACGATCGGGATCGTAAAAGGATCGTATTTGGGGTAGGATCGCAGGTAAGATCGTAAGATCGTAGGATCGAGATCCGATCCGATCCTACCTTCCTTTGATTTTTTTTTTTTTTTTTTTTTTTTATGCAAATGAAATTTTTTTTACCACTTTATGCCTTTTATCCTTTACCAATCTACCATTTATCATTTTTTATTGTAATTTATGACTAATATTTTGAAGTTTTTATAACTTTTGAATGAAAAACTAAATGTTTGAAATAGTTTTCATGATTAAATATTATAAATTAAAATTATATTCTATTTTGTGGGATCTTAGGATCTCGATCCCGATCTTACGATCCCGATCTTGCAAACCCAAAATCGATCCTAAGTAGGATCCCGATTTTGACAACCTTGATATGTACGTTCATACAGGTGGTGATATTAAAATAATTAGTTAAAATATAAATACATTTTTTTTTTCATTTGGAAATATCTTTTGCGATTTTTTTGTTGCTCATGAATGATTGGTTTTGACAAGATAAAAACAATATTTTTTTTCTAAATAAACTTATAAGTGGAAAATGGAAGTGATTTTAAAATGGAGAATTGAGTAATCTAACCTTTATTTTGGAGTTTTAAAAAAAATATAACCTATAATTTTAATATTTTATTTCTTTTGCAAAATAATCACATATTCCATAATAGGATGTTCCAAATGTCTTTTAGATTATTTTTCAGATGACCCGACCCATTTTATTTGATTAAGAATGTTAATTCTGGATCAACCGTATATTTTACGGATCGGGATTTTGAATTTCAAAATCCATAATATAATTTGAGGCGACAACTTCATTCTGGAAAGGCGCATTCTAATTTCGACGTCCCGACTCGATTCTGACATGCAACTCCGATCTCGGGACCCATCTCCGACACGCAACTCCAATCTCCGACATGGAAGACGAGCACTATGACCCCATTATTTTACGGGCACGTTCTTCGTTCTCTCTTTACATAGTTTTCTTATTTTCTTAAGGTGCCTTTTTCTCTATTGTTATTGTTCCGAAATTCGTAGAACACGTCTGAAATGAACTGAAAACGTTCCGGAGTTTAATTTAAGGATTTCATTATTGTAGGAACAACTAAAAAGTAGTTTAGATGTTTAGGTATCGTTGATTTAAATCGAAATGCTGTTTTCTGGATCTTAAAATTTGATTTCGGAAGCCTCCGGAACGCGACGAATTGTTTTGGAACACGATGAACTCATCCAAAACATAAGCAACAGGTTTGGAAGTGGTCTGGAATATTGGTCATTTCCGTTTTGGAATGAAGTGATAACACCTTTTTTATTTGTGCAGCTCGACATGGTTTTTGATGCATCAATTACACTCTCGTGTAAACCCAAAATCGGCGGGCAAATGCTCATTCAAAGACAGACTCGAATGTGAGACTATGTTCTGGAACACAGGTTTTGGGAGGTGGTTAGACATTCCTAATGTAGATGGGGATCCTTTGCTTCTACATTATGTCTATTGCCATGAAGTTGTCGCTGACCCCCGGAGTCATATAGAGGAAGATGGTTTTTGAGATTGGGGGCTACGAGCTGTCTTTCAAGAAGAAAAAAAAAATTTCTCGTCATCGGCTTCTGGTTTGGTGACTATTTTCCTGCTTTTGTATCTTGTGCCACCTTCTGCTCCATTGCCTTTTCTATGGTCTTGAGGAATGTATCAGTCAAATTAGACGATGTTATGAAAATATTTAAACATTCACTTAATGAGTTATCGGAAGTGGATTCAGTCTATATATGTGTTTTATAGCTGTTAGAAAAGGATTTCAATGGGCGGTTGTAACGTCTGAAAATTCAAAACCAAAAATTTTGTTTTTATATTATTCAATATCAACCAAACATGTTTGACAAAAGCCATAAAATTTTCAGAGAATACAAATAAACATCTCAAAAGCACATCAGAGAATATCAATAATCCATAAAGTCTAAGGTATCTGAATGATCTGTGGAATCTGAATATGAGGCATCTTAGATGGCTGGCTGTGATGAAGGATTATGATTGTGAGATCATTTATCACTCAGGGATGACTAATGTGGTGGATGATGCTCTTAGTCGTAAGGCGGTTACTGCTCCAATAAGAGATGTATCTTTGAGAATGGCAGTGATTACCCCACTCTGATCGGAGCAGTAACCACCTTGGGGCGGAGAGAACCGACCACCACATTGGCCTTCCCTGGGTGATAAAGGATCTCACAATCATAATCATTCACCACATCTAACCATCTATGCTGCCTCATACGAACATCACAACCCCCAACTCCAAATCATGGGTAGGATAATTCGCCTAATGAGGCTTTAGCTGCCTTGAGGAATAAGCGATCAAATAACCTCGCTACATCAACACCGTACCCAAACCTGTGTTTGATGCATCACAGTTCACCACAAAATCCTCTACACCCTATGGCATGGTCAGAATCGGGGCCTCACACAATCTCTACCTCATAGCCTCAAAAGCTTCCTGGTGCTCATGTCCCCAATAAAACGTGACGATATTTTTCGGGGTAATAAAAGTGGTCTCCTCTTGGTCAGATGGTACCATTTAGATTTGTTGGAAAACTATTGATACGTCCATAAATGTTAGCAGTTTATGGCCAACCATAGCATTTATAATGGAGTCTATGTGTGGTAGGGGAAAGGATCCTTAGGGCAAGCCTTATTCAAATCCGTATACTCTACACGTACTCTCCATTTTCCGTTCTTCTTCTACAGGAAGACAGCGTTGGCTAGCCATCTTTGGAACTTGACTTACTTGATCATCGCTATTTTAAGGAGCCTTTCTACTTCTTCTTGGATGATATGGTTTCTTTTGGTGCAAACTTTCTTCTCTTTTGGTGCACTGGCCTTAACGAAGGATCAATGTTAAGTTTATGAGTTATGATACTCTTGTCTATACATGTCATATGTTCAGGGTCAAAAATGGCATCAACCAAGTCCATGCACGATGACCTGGAGTTCCGTAATCAAATTCCTAGTCTTGGAAGGATAAATGTGCTATATGGGTATGGTTACACCCTTTATAACATCAACCAGTTTTAGATCAACCGGTAGCGCTGATGTTCAACAAGTGGTATCAGAGCCAGTGGCGAGGGTTCGATTCTCTCATGGAGCAATTTATGAGGGGTGGGGGATTGTTGAGGGTCAGAAATGGCATCGACCAAGTCCCGGCACGATGGTCTGGAGTGCTACAATCAAGTGCCTGATCCTAGAGGGTTGAATATGCTATATGGGTAACGTTGCGCCCTTTCTAACACCAATTGGTTTTAGATCAACCAGTAGTACTGATGCTCAAGATCATACCCTCACACTATAAGAAAAACGCGATTTTGCTATGGATGGGTGCTATGAAAGGTATTTTCATTGTTAATCTGCAATGGATTGTGCTATGGAATGTCGTTCCATAGCAAGGTTGATACCACATTGTCTACGAAATTTTTTTCCGGTAGCGAGCATGGGACTTGCTAGGGAAAATGCAACCGAATCCATATTCGTTGGTATTATGCTACGGATATTTCTATGGAAAAAACATTCATAGACATTTTCCAACAAAAATTTTATGAAAACACTTTCCATTGTATTGCTACTGTGGAATTAATTATCGTGGTTAATATGCAACGAAAATTTTCAATGGAAAACAATTTTTATAGTTGCTTTGCTATGGAAGTACCATTGGTAGGTATTTGATAAGGAATTCAGCTATGGAATTTGATTTCCTTTGCTAATTTTGCTATGGAAAAAAGCCTAGCTAATTTGTGATGATATTTGTTATGAAATTACATTCTATAACAACGTTAATATGGATTAATTCAAATTCAGAGATATTTAACTATGGAAATTTTCAATGGAAATAAAACTCGTGGAATTTTCAGTATTGAGCAATAATATGTTGCAACTTTTGTTACCAATTTTGCTAGGAAGTATTTTTTATAATGTATTTTACATTAAATATTGTGCCATATTATGGAATTAATTTGCATAAATAAAGCGTCCAATCTAACTCCCTTATTCACAAACCCACAAGCAGAAGAAGATAAATTAGGGAAAATTGATGTCATCGTCTTCAAGAAGTAACATGAGGTTGTGCGGATGTGGACATCTAGTTTGAATGTAGATGACATGGATGCTAAAGAATCTTGGAAGGAGGTTCCTTGGTTGCACAAACTACAATGATGAATACATAAAATGTGGTGTTTTCGTTGGATTGACCCACAACTACCAAATAAGTAGTATAGAGAGAAGATGTACCAGTTGAGAGCTCAAGTCAATGGTGAAGATGCTATTTTAGATCCCCCC